GACCTCTTTTGTGGGACTCCCGGAGTGATCTAGTAAGTTGTTGCTGAAGGCAGGTGTCCAACTGGCTATACCGTACTGACCAACATTCCCTTCAATGCTACTCGCTGCACACCAAGCACGAGGCATATATCCTACTAAACAACCATGCCTGACAACCTGTGTGTTGCCCGCTGCTTGCTTGACTGAGTAGCAAGCAGTCTGCACATTACTCAGCATAATTTGCATTATAATATCTCTAATACGTAAAGGGCATCATTCACTATTTCGTAAGCAATGACATTATTGCTTACTAAGTTGTGAGCTCTTGGACAGTAATAGTGACAAGGTGGCTCGGTTGTTTTACACAGATAAATGATAGATTTTATCTAGAGTATCGAGGGGAAGTTTGGCTACAGGTCCTGTAAACCTAATTGAATCTTAAATTCTATCAAAATAACCCGACCAGCATTTCCCGGCTTATAGTCAGGAGACTGATATTTAAACCAATATCATTTAGCCATCTTTATTAAAAAAATTGTCGCACATTCACAGCAACTGCAGTTCTATAATTCAAATATATATTATTGTCGAGTTTTAAGCTGGAAAGCATTAGTCATGGAGATTCCAAGGATCATGATACGGTATAGTAAATGTTGGTCCACTCTCTCACAAGCTTAAAAGCTTTTTTATGGTGTTCTTAGCTAACAGTAGTCAACTATGTACAGCTACATAATCAGTAGTTTACGCTTTATAATAAAGATTTCTGCGCAGTATTTAGTAGCTTATAAATGTATTTTGGCTAATACAAGCTGTAGTCTGTATACTTATTTACCATTAAATTATGAACATACATAAAGTAACCATTACCATAAGATTAAGTTTCAGTTACTGATCGTGTAGTATTGGGCTACGAAGAAAATGTTCAAGAAAGAAAATGCAGATTTGCAAGTCAAAATCAAATTTTTCACTTGAGTTTGAAACAATACAAACAGACAAATAGATATGACCGTTTGTACCTAGTATGTTTTCCAAATATTCACAAGTGTATGGGATGAACATTAGTGGTATGCCCTTACATCTGAAGGATTTTAAAGTTTATTCACTAGGGCAGTGTTTCCCAACCTTACTTCATTTTTTACTATCATGTGTTACTTTATAAAAAATAATGATGGCTTTTTTACTACTTTCAAATAAATTTTACATTACGCATTAATGCTGCGAAGACTGTTGTTGCAGGATTGCTAAAATTAGCAATATTGGTGATGTAATGGTGAAGCACAGAAAATGCTTGTTACAAGCAGTGTTCATTCAATTTTCTCTTCTGAGTTTGTTTTGGAATAAATATGTGCCTAGTATCTCAAATATGTTGTACTACCGAGCAACAACTAGCAACGCCCCTGGAGCGAGAAGGTGAAGAAAGCTTCAATTACTTCACTTTGAGACTATATTTCCTCAATAAACTCATTACTACTAGAGGGCTCGCAAGAGTCAAGAAAGCACTAATCACTACTGGCCCTTTGTCTGTTCCCAGTAAGAGGTCGATGCCCGCGTGACTCAAGTTTCGTCTGTCTCTTGAAGCCAATCTGAGCTTCCCTGCTCACTACGCGCTCACTCTCGCCCTCCTTACAAAGGATTTGCTGAATTCAGCGTTATTTCTCTTCTAGCTAAACATCGACACAGTATTCAATGTAAAATCGCAGATTTCTGGTTGTCTATCTATAAAGTACTATTCATCATAGTCCCAAATTGTGAATAAAGTGGCTGCAGGGTTTTCCTTAATTTTCCTACTAAGGTGAAGAGAGTAATTACTCTCATTTCACTGTCACTTGTACAAACACTGATCTCTAGCAATGAGAAGGTGGCGTGACTTACGACGCTGGTTTACGCTGGTACAGAATGTGATTCAAATTTAGCTGTTTACCAGGAAGCAAGAGAGGCTATCAGCCCCTCCTCCGGAGGGCTGAGTTCCTCAGGGGGCTGAGAGAGAGCCCCTTTCTGGAAATTTTCTACACAACACTGCCCAGGTTGGGACACACTGCACTCGAGCGTAGGTTGGTGGGAAAGGGGCAATGAAAATGCTACAATCCACACTACAATCTTTCATTAAATATTTCTGGTCGGGAGCAAATACATTTGGAGGTAGTGAAGGTGGGGAGTGTCACCTGGTGGTAAAAATGGCTTATCAGTTTTTACTTTCAATTACGGAATCGTGAAATGCACATCGTCAACACCAGCTCCAGTGGTTTCACATTGTGATGTGCAATTGAAAATATGTAGCAGCATTAGTCCTTGCGCTCCATATAAACATTGATCACGCAACATTGTTTTCCACACAGTACTATACTGATCGCATTGCATTTCCCTTCACATCGTATACAAACATATCGCAGAGTATTCTCCTTCACAGCATATACAAACACGTATCACATAACATTCTTCCTCACTATATACAAACACGTTTAACATTATTAATAATAATATATATATTTCTACAAGTACATGTACAAGGTATACAGTCCTAGCTGACATCAATGACATACTACTATATAGAAAGCAGCTTGTTATACAGACCATTTCGGGCAAATTAGGTAATTTGTGTCTCAGGATGCGACCCACACCAGTCGACTGACACCCAGGTACCCATTTTACTGATGGGGAACAAAACAACCGATGTAAGGAAACACGCTCAATGTTTCTACCCTCGCCGGGAATCGAACCCGGATCACGCCGTGTGAAGCCGTATGAAGCCACCAGACCCCGTGGCCTGGTGGCTGTATTCAAACATGTACCACATTACATTTCTTCAACGCACCATAGACAGACAGATCACACACCTTGCTCCATGATTTGTAACTCGTACCGGATGAAATTCATATTCACAATTTTCCTACAGTGTAGTAAAGCTTATCTTTACGCTCGTATGACATGCATGGAAGCTGCTGAGGACACATAAAAGTATACAAAATTGTTTTTTTGACACCGTTTCGCCCATACATCGATCTCTGTCATGTCACAAATTGCAACATGGTAACAATAATAAACAAGAAGTATAACCAACATACTTTAATATAAGATTGAGCCATAAATTCTGTTAATATAATTAGATTAAATTCACAGTCACTACACGAGGTATTTTGAAGTCTCTCTCCGCCTCTCAGGTAGTATAATCTCTTATCACTAAACATTAATATTTTGCTTACTTCCAACTTAATTTCGTTTTGTTTCAGTTCATGTACCACATGAACTAAGTATGGAATTACCAATACCATACTTTCATTACAGCCTGAAGGACCAATTCGATCTGAACGACCAATTCGGCCTAATAAGCCGAATTGGTCCTTCAGACCGAATTCCCTTATAAAGACTTGTCCCAAATTTTCTTGAACAAATTGATACATAGGCATATTATTTCCGTTGAAAATTATGCAAAAAAAAAATTATTTTCGACACAACCTAATATAGAAATCTAACCTAAGCAACCTAACGTAATTTTTTTTAGTCTAATTCTTTTAAATGTATCATATCGTTATATTCAGATTAATGGCATAAATTTTTTTTCACTCCTTGTTCGGCAGAAAAGATCCTTGCTTTTTAGGTCTAACTCATCGGTTTATCTTATTTTGGCACGATTATATATATATATATATATATATATATATATTATATATATATATATATATATATATATTATATATATATATATATATATATATATATATATATATATATATATATATATATGTAATATATATATATATATTATTATATATATATATATGTATATATATATATATATATATATATATTATATATATATATATATATATATATATATATATATATGTATGTATATATATGTGTGTGTGTGTGTATGATACGTAATTTGCTAACGCAAGAGCTCTAATAATTATAATAGTGCAAATATTTCTCATAACCAACCCAGGCATTCGATCATTTTCAGTTATATGTATTCTGTAGAATGCCATGTATTCTGACAAATCACAGAATATGTACACAGAGAGATGTCTCTCTCTCAGTGTGTATATGGTGAGAGTTCAATACTATTTTAGGGATAAACGTAGTCTTGTCTGGTGGTGAGCAGGTTACGTTCAGCCTTAATGACCCATCATATAACCAATAGCCTTGAAACTCCTTTACCCAGCAAAGTAACAAGTGTTATGCTTGATGACTCAGGTTCAGGGGTTCAATTCAATATTCCTTTTTTATTGAAGGGTGTTGAAAATAATTCTCAGACCAGTATAGCAGTCCAGTAGCGTAGTACATCCAGAATTTGTCAACGGTATTCCGCACTGCAATAAAACTTCAGAGTTTGCATAACATACAGTGACTCAGGCAGAGATTTGCATTCTTTGGTCTGTTAGCTTTTACTCTATGAATTGCATGAGACTCCGTTCCATATGCATGCTCCCAGTCAAGTATATTTCAGTTCAAAAAAAAAAGGGAATAAAGTTAAGTCAGCGTGTGTGTGTGTCTGTGTGTGTATATATATATATATATATATATATATATATATATATATATATATATATATATATATATATATATATATATATATATATATATATATATATGTGTATATTATATGCTTCTCTTTGTATATTTACGACTTCAGGTATGCATAGATAAATACACGCCTCATGACAACACTAGTAATGAATCACGCGTAAATACACTTCTATTCTCAAAATGTGTTAACATTACTACCACTGCTATAAATTCACCCTATTGACATGAGGGCTTGGAGAGAGGCTTTGTCTTTAAATTTATTTAAATTGACACAGGCTCATCTGGGTATCTACGGTAATTTATCAGAGTTCACATCTCTAAATTTTAGGCATTCCGAAACCCAAGTCTATATTGTTAGCTGTAGGTGAATATTTAACCTGAACTGACACGTGTGCGCCATCAATGGAAGCCAATGATGTGTTTTCTCCTTAAAAAATTAATCGAGTGTCAAGGGCGTATCTGCGCTAATGTGCCTAACATCTGTTCCCGTCCAGGACACAAGCCACGTCCGCTTCGACAGCAGCGCCCTCAAGGTGAGACAAGTTACCTGGCCAACACACTCATCACCTCACTGTAGTAATCACCGTGGTGCCAATGATCAATGCCATTTACAGACGTTCTTTAGCAATTGTGAATTTCAAACTAGTGTTTTGAGATACATACTGTTTGCAGTATTTGACAATTTAAGCCTTAGCACCTTATTTTATATAGAAATATCACTCTGAAGGAAGATTTTCATATGTAGAGTGTGTGTGTGTGTTTGGCTTCAGGTATAGTTCATGAGAGACAGGAGTGGCACACTGCTGTAGTCATGAAGATAAGGCTACTTTGTGTCTTTTTTATCGACTTTTGTTGTATTTTTTTACCGAAAGGTTTAGATAATTTTTTTATAGCATTATGCTGCGATTTCTGGTAGTTGTAATGTTCTACAAATGCACGATACATGTCTTTTTTTACTGGTAGATGATTTTTTTTTGGGGTGTCGCAAATTTGTGTAGTGGATGTAGCTGGAGGCCGAGGATTGTCTCAGTAGGTAGGAAGGTGATGTGGCACGTCGCACCGTCAGGTAACGTCATTGTAGAAAACACAGCTTGACTTTACTTTCCCCACAGGCCATTACCGACGGTGCTGCTGAGGAGGGAAGTGAGGAGAAGAAGGAGCGCAGGAAGAAAAAGAAGTCTAAGGAGCGTGAGGTCGTCCCCGAAGTTGCCACGGTGGAAGCCGTGTCTTCCACACCAGCACCACCAGCAGCAGCACCGGCTGAAGTCTCCGTCCCAGAGGCGGAGCCCGTCTCCGCTCCCACCGAGAGCGAACCTGCCGAAGATGAAGAGAAGGAGCGCAAGAGACTGGAGAAGAAGAAGAGGAAGGCCGAGCGTGAGGCTGCTGCCAAGGCTGCCATGGAGGCAGAACTAGCTGCCCTTGCTGCCGCTGAGGCAGAATTGGCCCGCCTGGAGGCTGAAAGCAGCTCCCTGAAACCCGAGGCTCCTGCTGCCGAGGTCTCCGCCCCTGCCGAGGTCCCTGCCGCCCCTGCTGAGCCCGCCGCTGAGGTGAAAAGTGAGTCCGCTGCTGAAAAATGTGAGTCATCAAGCGAGGTGGTGTGTGAGGGTGTGTGTGTGACGCCTGAGACCCTGGGTGAGCTAGCCCCCTCCATGCCCCCCCTTCAAGTTCCCCTACAGGAAGAGCAGGTGTCCCAGGTGACTGAGGAGCCACAAGCTATCCAAGAGCCAGAACCGGTTGTGGTACCTCCAGTGGAGCAACCCCAGACGGAGGCCCCAGTGCAACAACCTCCAGTAGAGGAACCTCCAGTGGAGGAGCCTCCCGCACAGGTTGCGGTTGAGGAGCCTCGGCTAGAGGAGGTTAAAGCTGAGGAAATCCAGACGGAAACTCCAGTGGAGGTACCCCAAGCTGAGACGGCCAAGGTGGAGGAACCTCCGGTCGAACAGCCCCAAGTAGAGCCTCCAGTGGAGGAACCCCAGGTTGTGGAACCCCAAACGGAGCCTCCAGTGGAGGCTCAGGTGGAGGCAGCGTACGTGGAGAAGCCGGTGGCAGTAGTGGAGGAATCACCAGCGGTGGAGAGCACTACCGAGCAAGCAAGACCAGTGGCTCGTCGTAGAACTGCTCTTGATGATGAGGATCCTGGGTGGCTAGATGCCTGGGCCGGGGAGACGGCTGCTGACCCCGCCGAGGAGACAGGTTCCCACCTAGGTTAGTTGGCCCGGCGAGACAATCTTCACATCTCAATCACCACTGCTCCGCCAGCCAAGCTCCAAGACGTCGTCTTTTATTTCCTCTCTCTCTTTTTTTTCTACCTTCCTCTCCCGTCCATTCCCTCCCGTCAATTCCCTCCCAATACGTGACGACGCTCCAGCAATGTACGAATGAATTACATTCGCGATTTATTCACAAATTCAAAGGTAATTCTGAACCCTAAACTACTTTAGTTAGTTGCTGGAGCGTCCGTTTCGTGCCTAATGCTAGAAGCCATGATGAAAAATTATTTTCTGACTTGTAACATTCTGGTCACACATTTTGACTTGATTAAAAATCGATGATCTGGCATCCCTTAAACTCAGAATGTTCTAGTCAAAAAATTTCCAATATTTTTCAGTCAGATGGCCATGTTTGCATGAATCCTCGACAGACCTCTTGTGGTAAAGAGCATCCTCAACTTGCCTCTGTAATAACGTATACTATATACAACGTCACGTTTTCCAAGGAGAATATATTTTATAATTTTCGTAGCTAGAAAATTATTTATATATAAATTATATATTATATATATATATATATATATATATATATATATATATATATATATATATATGTATATATATATATGTATATATATATATATATATATATTATATATATATATAATATATATATATATATATATATAATATATATATATAATATATATATATATATATATAATATATATATATATATATATAAATATATATATATATATATATATATATATATATAAATATATATATATATATATATATATATATATATATATATATATATATATATATATATATATATATATATATTATATGAGGATAGTGAGGCTCAGGTTAGGGTGTGTAGAAGAGAGGGAGACTACTTCCCGGTAAAAGTAGGTCTTAGACAGGGATGTGTAATGTCACCATGGTTGTTTAATATATTTATAGATGGGGTTGTAAAGGAAGTAAATGCTAGGGTGTTTGGGAGAGGGGTGGGATTAAATTATGGGGAATCAAATTCAAAATGGGAATTGACACAGTTACTTTTTGCTGATGATACTGTGCTTATGGGAGATTCTAAAGAAAAATTGCAAAGGTTAGTGGATGAGTTTGGGAATGTGTGTAAAGGTAGAAAGTTGAAAGTGAACATAGAAAAGAGTAAGGTGATGAGGGTGTCAAATGATTTAGATAAAGAAAAATTGGATATCAAATTGGGGAGGAGGAGTATGGAAGAAGTGAATGTTTTCAGATACTTGGGAGTTGACGTGTCGGCGGATGGATTTATGATGGATGAGGTTAATCATAGAATTGATGAGGGAAAAAAGGTGAGTGGTGCATTGAGGTATATGTGGAGTCAAAAAACGTTATCTATGGAGGCAAAGAAGGGAATGTATGAAAGTATAGTAGTACCAACACTCTTATATGGGTGTGAAGCTTGGGTGGTAAATGCAGCAGCGAGGAGACGGTTGGAGGCAGTGGAGATGTCCTGTTTAAGGGCAATGTGTGGTGTAAATATTATGCAGAAAATTCGGAGTGTGGTAATTAGGAGAAGGTGTGGAGTTAATAAAAGTATTAGTCAGAGGGCAGAAGAGGGGTTGTTGAGGTGGTTTGGTCATTTAGAGAGAATGGATCAAAGTAGAATGACATGGAAAGCATATAAATCTATAAGGGAAGGAAGGCGGGGTAGGGGTCGTCCTCGAAAGGGTTGGAGAGAGGGGGTAAAGGAGGTTTTGTGGGTAAGGGGCTTGGACTTCCAGCAAGCGTGCGTGAGCGTGTTAGATAGGAGTGAATGGAGACGAATGGTACTTGGGACCTGACGATCTGTTGGAGTGTGAGCAAGGTAATATTTAGTGAAGGGATTCAGGGAAACCGGTTATTTTCATATAGTCGGACTTGAGTCCTGGAAATGGGAAGTACAATGCCTGCACTTTAAAGGAGGGGTTTGGGATATTGTCAGTTTGGAGGGATATGTTGTGTATCTTTATATGTGTATGCTTCTAGACTGTTGTATTCTGAGCACCTCGGCAAAAACAGTGATAATGTGCGAGTGTGGTGAAAGTGTTGAATGATGATGAAAGTATTTTCTTTTTGGGGATTTTCTTTCTTTTTTGGGTCACCCTGCCTCGGTGGGAGACGGCCGACTTGTTAAAAAAAAAAAAAAAAAAAAAATATATATATATATTTAAACTGAACTATAAGCACTTCAGTGTTTTCGAATTTGGTTGAAATACGATTTCTAATCTAAATATGTATCTGCAGTCATAACTAAATAGTAGTGGAGAATTTTGTTGAGATGAACGGAGTGGCGTTGATATGCTCTTTTCCCTCATATAACAAGGCTGTTATAAGAGCCTCTTTAAAACGCCTCAAGAGTCAAGTCTGTGTTTCCTCCAGGTTAACCACAAACTTGCATCTTGGGGGAGAAATACGACTCATATTTTTCACTTATTGCATGGCATTTTGCATGAAATAAAAACTGAGACGGCACACAAATGATAGTCAATTTCATGAATACGACTGCGGCAATTTGCATTTGCCGCAGTAGTTTAACTTTTATTTTCATTCCTATTATGTGAAATTGAGAGCAGGGAGGCCATACGAGGCTCTAACATGGCGCTCCTGACCACCTACACGGATACCTGTGACCTGTGATGGACTTACAACGTTCTTTGTAAACAAAGTATTTACATTTGGTAACAAGCAGGTAGGCTTAAGACAATTTTTATTAAATTGATTTCTAGCCAGTTTTACGATTGACAAATACTTTACGATATTATAGAGAGAGAGAGAGCAATGAAACCACGAAGCAAGTGGTTTTGAATCATTTACCAATATATATACATATGGAGCTTTTGGTCATCTGACCGAGGCCTTCCTCTGGCTTACCCTTCCACCCCTTTAAAAATTATGACTATAATTATAACCATTTATTTAGGTGTTGTTATTCTTAATTCGCTTTGATTTTAATCTTTTTGCACTTTTTTCATTATTTTTTGGGTGCAATTTGAATTTTCATTGTAATTTTTTTGATTAGGTCGCCATAACCACTTAGTGTCAAAGTAATGTTATAATCAATTTTACCACATTATTTATAACCACATCTTGTTTGAAAAACAATAATTTAAGACATTTGTTCACTTTACCGTCGCGTCAGATTTCGCAAAAAAAGTACCTGGATTAAGCTTGTTGTTGTTTTAATCCAAGTTACATTCTTAAGGATTCAAAAGTGATCCTCAAGGTAATGCCGACTAATTACTAATTTGGCAGAGGCAGTTAATCAGACACAATGAAGCGCCGTTTCATGTTTCATTGTTACAATGTTTTTGCTTTGTTTTACATTTTGTTCGACTGGTCTTAACACAGCACTTTAATAAGTTTACTTATTCTAATTTTTCTTCTCGTTACATGCTTCTCCTAGACCTCTTATTTTTATTGCATGTTGTGTGTATTATTTATTTGCAATTCTTGTACTTTTAGTGACTTTATTTCCTTGTTTCAGCCAAAGCCAATTTTCTCATATGTATGTGTGTATCTATATATATATATATATATATATATATATATATATATATATATATATATATATATATATATATATATATATATATATATATATATATATATATATATATATATATATATATTATTTACATACATTCTCATATCTCAGTAGTAAAATTCTTTTCTTGATTTTCCACTAAAAAAACGCAAATTAAAGTTTTACTTATCTTTGGTTAAATTAAGTAGCTGTACAAAATACTTCTCGCCACAAGGAAGCGAACACATCACCGTGGCAGCAGAATTTACGAAACTAATTTTAATTTTATCTACAATAAATTTCATCCGAAGTTTTCACTTTTTTTTTTTTTTTTTTTTACCAAATACCAAGGGGGACGGACATCTGTGTGGGTAAAAGCAGTAGTTTCAGAGCCACCGACTTTTGTTTTTTCCTCGTTGTGAATTAACTGTTCAGATTCTTGGTGTAGATTATCAAGATTTGTGGTCAGTATTATTACTCTGCTCGTGTAAGCTCTAAATCGTTAAGGGTCATCTAGTGCCTGAGAAATGCTAGATGATCAGGTTTGAGCCAAGGAAGTTAGCGATAGCTTTAATTCCTTTACTTTAGAACCATTCAGTGTCATCAACTTACTTGAAAGTTACCTTAGATGTTGACTCCATGTGACACATTGTCCAAGACAAGACACACGTTGCAGAACAAATTTTTAATGGAAAAACGTCTCCGAAAGTGACATGATAAAGCTCTACCCAGAACGAAAGGTTTTTCCCGTTAATATCTTTCTCTGCAACGTGTGAGTTTTCTTCTCAGATGTTTTTTTTCTGCTTCCATTCGTAAACTAGACACAAGCTGGGAATCATACCCACATTAATTAAACTTCCTTATTCACCGAAGCATCAGTTATTCTTTCGCTTTCCCGATACATCTGTAGGACTTGTATACATGACTGAAACAAGGAAGATACATGGCTCCTGCGGTAGTGTCAATACGGGTAGTACTGAGGTAGTGTTATCAGCAGACCACCTCCATTACTATCATTTGAGGTTCAGAATTTCAAGGTAAAGAATAAAAAGTCACAATACCTTGGCTGGAACAATACACAGATAACCCACACTTGGTAGATCGAAACTTACGACGAAGTTTCTTTGTCATAAGTTTCTAAGTTTGACCGAAACGTCGTTGTAAGTTGCAGCGTCCTAAGTGCGGGTTATTTGTGTATTATCTCAAGGTAAAGGACTGCACACTATTCAAAAATATCCTCTGTATATCAAACCCAATTAAAAGCACCACAGTCTTGCAATCTCTCATGTCACTGCTGCCTTGTTCATAAAATAGTTCAGTGAGTAATGAGTGATCAGTCATCAGAACACTTTCAACTCATTTTCCCTTCAATGTCTCCTTTTTTTCCTCTTGCATTTTCGAGCGTGGTGTTGACTAGGTGGTTAACTCTGACATATATGTATGTAAAATACGGATAGGTGAGAGGACAGTTTCTAAGGGGAACCATCATTCTCGTTCACTCCCAGTAGCTAGCGAGCCCAGCAAGGCCAAACGGAAATTGCAATCTGCCACCTCCAAGATTCTCGCTGTAGGAGCATTTTTTCGTTCAAATAAAACACAGAAGCAGCCATCAGGTACGTTGTAATTACAGTGGATGTGGATGTAAACACAATTCGTGGAGCTTTAAAGATCCAAAATTGTCGCCAGTTAAAGCAAAATCTCTTGTACGACATACGTCATTAAAGCAATCTGAAGCCTCCAGATCAGGCGTGAGTTTAGTCGTAACTAAACGAATGTGTATGAAGTTACTAGAGTGACAAGAGACAAGGACCTGTGACTTACTGTGTGAGCCTTGACGCAACCACTGCCATCTGCAACTAGACAAAAGACTTCAAGAATCCCATCATATTGGCTATCATATAGTAAGACATAAATAAGCTGTTTTCATTTATTTAAAATTAAGTTTCCTCTTGTAATAAGGATAAAATAGGGAGAATTACATCCATTGGAAGTTTGTATATGTGCAAAACCAGAAAATAAAACATTCCTTGATAAATTATCTGAATGCCAACCCGCTGTCGATGTGCCATCTCCAGTATTGTTGTTTGTTGTTGATTTATATGTAGTACACATGTTCTTTTCAGTTTGGTTTAATTTGACATGATTTATATACTTAACAATAGAGAGAAAAAATGTAAGTGGACCGCATGTTTTAGCAATCTTTTGTTGCTTTGTTTTAGCCGAGTAGATGCAGTAGATAGTTCGTCTTTCTACGGATCTCTTGTGGGTATGTATTCCTTGGTTTGTTCATTACTTGTCACATTATATAAGTCTTTTTCCTTATTTCTTGAATATCTTTTGAAAGTGGTCTCTTTTATTATTGTTCGAGATCAGTAACCTACTTTATTTCAGTTCCATGTGTATATTACTGAGACTAATGTCTTCTTAAGTTTCATATGAGAGAGAGCTCACGCTATTTTATTAAGTTTGTGTCTAAGTTCAGTCCATTGTTGAGTTTCATGTATGTGAAAAAAAAATAATTCTTCAGTTCCACTTCCTAGTTACTGACAAGATTTTAGACTTGAATTGCATGAGTGAATCACTTCAGATTACCATATATTGTTCTTCCGTTTCATGTCTGTCATTGAAGTGAGTCTCTTTTTGAGTTACATTCCTACCACTGGTAAAATGTTTTTTACCCTTCAGTTATATTTCTGTCTAAACATTTTTTGACCTAATCGACACTAATATTTACAGTGGTCTTCTATGTGACTCCTTGAGATTTATCCACCAGTTATACGTCTCTGACCGACATAATCAAGACTTAACATGTCTTTCCCTGGTTCGCATATCCCATTTAAAAATAGTTCTCTAATAGCCTAGGCATGATCACTTATCCTAACAGTGATTTCATGATCTGATATTTTTCTTCAAATAACTTTTTAATATAAAAAGTGGATTTACATAATTTTCCATCCTATTTTTTTTTTTAATTCCCTTTTAGTAGCCCAAGAATCTCGTCCTATTGTGAATCCAACCTCTCCAATATTTTGTAACTCATAATCACTGTACGTTAATTCCGGATTTTTTTTTTACATTCCATTGCACATGACATATTTACGCCACCACTATCACCCTTCACTCATACATAAATCAATGACTTAATTAAACTAGTGCTTTATCCTCTATGTATTTTACTTCATATAACTTTCACTATGGACTACGATACTTGCTTGTTCAAAAGTCATATATACAAACATGTGTAGACAGGAACAAATAAGTAATGGGAGTTACCAACCGTATTTAGAAACAGTTATAAATATCTGATATTTTTCAACGATATGTCTTGGAATCTCGCACGAAATATAATTATAATCTTAGTACGGTCTGCGTTTATAAACCAGACTGCGTTTATAAACCAGACTGCGTTTATATGCTAGACTTAAGACAGGTGTTATGTGACGCTCTCTGTTTCCTGTGATTCAAATGTTCATAATTCAATACAAGTGCAGATCAAGCTATATGATTCCAGGATATATGAGTAAATACCTGCATCACACAGAGACATACTGTCTATACACTCTGATGCTGTTAATATGTTCATCAGTCTTGTTGTTCAGAGTCATAAATATTAGCTGAAATGTGAATAAGAACGTCAGGAGGTATAAACAGTACAACTCTATGGTTACTCTAGGAACAAGAGGTTTTGATCCTGCATAGATCCACAAGTCAGCCTAGATGTTGAACCTTGTGGTATTAAATTCATTATCTCAACACTTAGATTCCATAATTTTTTTTAACATTTATATTTTGGATTACAATTTATCTATATAATCCACATGTTTACCCAAAACTTAATAATCACAACTATCACATACTGTGCTAATAAGTAGAATATTTTTCAAATATGGATATATCTGAACCTGCAATATACAATAATATATTTTTTTTCGCTAATGCCTTTCCATTGATCACGTACAACAGGTAGGTGAGTTTCCGGCCTTCAGTATAAATAAATACTTTGTCTACAATCACATCAATTACCTGTCAACAACATTATACCATCACAAACACCGTGATACATTGTGTGGGTTGATTATGCCAAATATACAATAGTTGCAAGATCGTGTCTTTCATAGTGGATTAAAACCAGAGATGACTCTCTTGATAACTAATCTACTTTGTTGAATTTTTAAATATGTTGTTGATTATAAATCAAGTGACGTACAGTTGTTTTCTTTGTTAGTCGAAATTCTCATTCGGAAAATATTTGTAAAAGAAACAAAAACGGAAAAATCAACCGTTATAAATTAATTTTGCTTAAGCTTACAATAAGACTGGATTAGAAATGTTTAAGAATTTAAAATTAATAATTTTGAGTTATATAATCCGAGAATAACTTACTACGATAAATGACTTGACGTGCTGTTGGAGAGTGAGCAAGGTACCATTTCATAAGGGATGCAGGAAAATTGGTTGGCCGGATTAGCGAACTGGAAGTAGATAAGGGCGGGTATGTTGCGGTTTAGAGTACTGTCAGAACTGTGATGTCTTCACGCTTCTAGAAAATCAGAGATTAAATGAATGACAGTGAATGTGTTTCCTCTTTTTTCGGATCACCATACCTGGGTGGAAGATGGCCGGCCGACGCGTTAAAAAAATACTAGAAATAAAATCAGCACTAGCTTTTTAACTATGTATTAATTGCTGTTCTTTACAAGATAATAATAGGCTTTTGATGTTTAAAGCTAGAAAGAGCAAATTTGCACCGAGAGGTGCGTAGCTCTTCGTGTATATACGCAGATTTTGTTTAAATTACTGTTTTAGGAATTATTTCTGATTGGTAATCATGTGATATAGAGACTTTAAACCAACTAAATCCTTACGCATTTACCTCTGTTTTGTGAATTTGCCGATGTTTCATTTATTTAATATTAAAAATGGTGTTCAAAATACAACCTAGCTATAAATGTTCTACCAGTATACCATTTTGCTGTTCAGGATACTTGGAAATGACGCTTACAAAAGCTTAAGGTCCGTAGCAAAGACAAAGTAGCATAAAATTGCCATTAAAAAGTTTGAGTAAATCCTTGGGAGAATACGCGTTATTTAACAATGACATGCAAGGCTTTACATGGACAAGAGTCAAGCAGAAAATTCATTCTTGTAAAATAAAATGTTATTAAGGTTTTTCTATGTGAGTTGATGACAGGTGTTGTTGAGCGGCAAGAATCATTCAGAAATGGCTGACAGTATCGAGTCTAAAGACTGAGTTAACAGAGAATACTCACTTTAAATAAATTAATGACTATATGCGGCTAAATCTCGAATCTTTTACACAACACTAAACAAACTACACAAGAAGCATGCTTTATTAATTTTTTCTAGAGAAAAGTATACCTCTCGAGTGTAATTGTATTTGATACACTCCTACCCCAGATTTTAAGAGTGCTAAAAGTCGCACTCTTTTTTTTTAGAACTATAAAGAATATCCCCCATTCCTCATATTTTAACTAGTGACCATAATTCCTAATCCTATTGTGTTTTAAATCTTCCCAGGCTGTACTTCGCTTCTTCCTTACGAAACTTAACCAGACCTGTTCCCCTAACTGTAAATGCACTACTCATTTGCATGATTTTCTAGGAACAGAAGTTAGAGACGCCCCGGCTACCTCCACCACAGCAGAGGCCGGGCAGGAGGGACCTGACGATACTACCCACGCTGCTGCCGACGTCGACACCAGCAGCGCCCCCACCTCCAGGTCGGGTGACCAGCTTGTGGAGTAGATGTTGCCAGCACATCCTCGCTACACCAACATCCACCCCTCAACTCTCTTATGAATTGGTTCATAAATCATTAGCATCATTCAGTAACTTAATTCCTCACATTCTTTATCCACCAACTACCCTGGACACTTATTGTGCTTCAGTTTTTACACTTCTCTGACAGTTAAAACTTGAGATTCAGACCATTTACACACAGTCATCCCTTAAGATATGTAGAGTTTTGTTCCTAAGTCGGATTAGCGTCAATATGTTCCATCTTAATGACTATTATTTCAACATCAAAGGCACTACAAATGGTTTAGTTTCTCCTCTGTTAGAGTTGAGAGAATGTTCACTTAATATCATTTTCTATGTAACAGTGCTAACCCAAACTATAATAGCACTGTTACTTGGCTCCTTGACACATTTTATTTATTGTTTTTTCTATTATCTTGGGCCACACTTCTTAACACACACACACGGGGGATATATTACTGTTTTAATTATAGCTCATCTCATTATACGCTTTTGGGTTTCATGTGTTAAGTCAAATTATTTGTAATGACACTTTTTAGCTTGTATCATGACGGCAAAAAAAAGAAAAATATATACAAATTAAGTAATGGCATGTAGCATTTTATTGTCAATTTATCATATGGTTATGTGCTGTCTTATCTGAATTCTTAGTTTCATCTTGAGTTGCAGTTCAAAAAAACCTATCACATTGCTCGGTGTTTAAGAGAAATTGTGACAACTGCACTCATGGTGGTGGCTAAGATACAGGGCGGTATATGTTTTCTTTTTTAATCGCTGTATCTTGTAAGTAATGAGTGATGTATTTGTGCGCAGCTATAACACTATTTTCATCAGCAAAAGTTTGTAAATACTATGTAGACTCCGCCCTCAAGTGTAAAATGCCAGGTACCTGGATTCAGACATTATCTGTTGAGCTGAACGTCAGCGAAGGGCAGCCCAGCTCACACTCAGGTCATAGCCTGAGCAACTTCTTAAGAGGCAAGCAGGGAAGGCTACACCTAAAATAGGACACCAGTTAACAGAAAGTTAGGATCTACGCCTATAGGTTGACCTTATGATAAAATAGTCAATATTTCCTAATTTATATTTACATATATTGGCATTTTTTTTTGCTTCAAAATTCTAGGGAGGCAGCTCTCCCTCTTGCACCTCTTCTCCCCAGCACTGGCTAGGGACCTGTAACTGCTAGGTCTGAGTCCTGGTTGGGCAGGTACGCATGGATAGTGCTCTTAACTGTGCAACTGTGACGTATTTTTTAATGGGCTGGGAATGTAAAACGTAGGATGGTTCCAATTCGCTACTAATTAGCTTTTCAAGGAAACACAAATCTAGTCTGCTAATATTTAGCTCATTTGACACTATTGTGGTCAAATCTGACAACGTTCTGTTGCAATAGGTTTCAATATTTTGTCTGTTTAATTTTCTTCCCGACAATTGTGTCCTGTTCACAATAAAGATGTTAAACACACGAGGTTTTACATTTTTGTTTATATTTCTGCCTTTTCGCTTTATTGCTTGATGAACTGTGAAAATAAACAGACGAATGGACAGGGACTCGATTCGTGGTCCTGGCACATAGCAGGTCCAACGCTGTTCCACAGTTCTTGACTTTAGAAACCTGTGAGAAGCGCTCGTCACCCATATTTATGCACCAGCATACAATGTACCTAATGTTGTCACTGGCATCATATAACGATAATTTTACGATGTGATTCTAGATGGAGTACTGGCCATCTCAATAAAAGTTTGCAGAACAAACTTTTATTGAGACAACTTTTCACTCTATGTAGAGGCTTATCAGTGATGACTAGTCCTTCAATTACCTTATCAGATTATACTCTCTCCCATGTCTTATTACATAGTGAGTTATATGCACTGACATCTTAAATTTTCCACCTTTGTTTTGGATTCCTACCACTAAAATTTCAACATACGTGTGTTTTTGACTTGAATTTCTGAAGCCTTCATTGGCCCCCCCCCCTCCCTATTTTTGCCACTGCTCCCTCTGTTCTAGCTCACTCTGTCTCTTCTCCATACCTAATAGTTACTATCAACTACAACCTCACTTAATATATACTTTTCCAGTTTAGTTTCCGTTGAAACTATCAGATTTCTTTTCCACGTACGATGTCCCTCACCTCTTGCTTTTTATTTTTTTTTAAATTAGTCCATCAATGTTATATGAAAAATTTACTAATGTTTTTCTCAATGATTCCTTTTTATATTTTAATTGGTTTCAGTCTTTTTCTTTTTTAACTTTATTTGCAGGTTGGAATGAACTTCCTCCATGGATTTGTTTTTATATTCGTCATTTCTATTCTCATTTAACCTCTTATCAGTGTTTATAAATTTATTTATTATTACCCTGTCCTCTTTTGAAATATCTTGTCACATTGATATTCAGTTTCCAATTTCTTAACAGTCTTATCTTCCCTTAGCAATTCTTCCATTGCTTAACCTGCAATGGCCATTTTCAGTGGTTATTATTTTTATCATTCTCATATTTTCTTTTTCTCCTCCATCCCTCCACTGACGCTCTTGTAGCAGTTTGTCAAAGCATTAAAGTTATATTTCTTCCCCCCTCGACTGTTTTTCTATCATAATTTCGTTCTTAACACAGCCACCAACAATAGCAGTGTTTTCCGTATACACAGCCTTAACAGCTCAGAATTATAATATCTATTTTTTTTCAATACTAATAATGTTAGTCCTAGCAGTAATTTCTTTAGTTAATAAAAGCTATTGTTCCATTTTTTTGCAAATTATCTTTTATTTAAGCTTTATTATTCTGTATTTCCATTGTCTGCATTTCAGATGTGTTGGTTGACTTTTTCTGTGATATATGTTAGTTACATCTATTCATCATGTTTTTTCTTTTGCTTTCTTATTCCTGCTTAAGTATCTTGTAATTTCCCTTTATACGCCTCCAAATCCATTATCTGCTTCTCTGCATCGACTGTATTCTTCATTAAATCTTTGTCTGTCTCGGCTGTTTATTTTATAACAACAGCTAACTCTCTCTTGTAGTGTTTTCTGGGTGAGTTGTTGAGAACTCTTCATTACTTGTACTTCATTCGTTACATTGTCGTTTGCCTCATTCAACCTGTCTGTTAGTCCTTGTTTTACCTAGTGTAATTAGTCATTGTTGTGAAGGCATACCCAAGCTTCGACCTGGTGCTTTCAGATATTATTTACATAAATGATGTGAAGCCTATCAACTGCACGATTAAGGCTGCATATAACCTTTATACCACTACTCAATGATACTTAAATCCTTAAAATGACCTATAAATTAATTTTGGCCAACTAACCAGGCTATATCATTATATAAACAGAGAGGTGTTTCCCTCAGTAAACTGTCAACGTATATAAGGGACATACGTTTCTCTGTGTATATACTTTGTGTATTAATCTTTGATTAATTGGGTTTAAAGCTTATCGACGATACGAGGCTCATTAAGGGTGCTTGTAACTTGTTCACCACCAATCAAGAATACTTATTCATAATATAGGCCTCTTGGTACTAAGGTAATCTCTAAGTGCATGTATACTGAGACCTCCAAGTGCTAATGCACTTTCGCTCTCATTGCATACATTACTGCTTCTACGACAACCTTTTTTGCTAATTTTATTATTATTACTGCTACTGTTTCTACTCTCAGTGCTGCTCCTTTAAATACCTCTGCTACTATTACCATCACTACTTCGTTTATTATTACTTTTACCATTACTAATAAGTTCAAGAACTTTTACCATTGCTAATTCCAGTACAATAACTTTTACCACTGCTAATTCCGATACAACTTTCTTTCCTCTTCCCGACTTGTCTTCTGGTCTTCTCTGCTTGTTCTGGGTCAGTTGTGACCGAAAAGTTTATATACGTTTCCTCTCAAAAGTGCGGACTACTTGTAAATTGTTCCAGCTACGATAATGTGACTTTTTTTCTTCAAGAGTAATATACTCAACAGAATATACCAAGCATGTTATGACAGGTCAGATTAGGGAAGATTCGTCAGGAGACAGGACAAGTGCTTCCTGACGTGGGTCTTTGTCATATGATGACCCGTCACGGGAGCTTTTGGTCATCTGCCCGACGCCGTCCGCTGGCTTACCAGTCCACCCCTTTAAAAATTAATATTATTAGTGATTATTTTTTGACATAATATTTTTCTGAAGTTTAACATGTTAATTACATTTGTCATGATTGTTTGAACTCATGCTAATATGACTGAGTAATGTGTTTCAGTGTTCTTTATTCTTTTTCTCTATAATAACATTTGTATTTAAATACGCAAGTCTGATTCATATAGTGTGACAGGAAGAGTAAATGTTACGTTCTACTTATGAGTGAAAACTTCCCCTAACTCGTGTGATTCTTTTTCCTTGCATGCAGACCTGGGAAGTACAGACTGTTTAAGACAGAATCAAACGTCAGGTGAGTGCATTCCTGGTTTTCGGAATTCTCAAAGCAGCTCTCCTACGCTAATCCCAATATATATCAAAGCATACATATGCACCGAGAAGTGGATGCATGTATGTGTATATATCCTCAGAGATTGCGTTAATCATTATTTCAGGCATTAACGTATTTTTGACTGGTGGTGAATGGGTGACATGCAGCCTTAATGACCCACGAGAAGTCAAGAGGCTTTAAACCCTCATGAACCAACCAATATTTACATTTGGTTTACACTTCGTTAGCGTACTTGCAAAGCAATATATTTTTTATTTGATCATAAAAATGTGGACTGTGACCTGTCCTCTCTCCCCAGTCATTTTTTTTTAAAGTTTATTTGATAATAGCCTTATTGTTATGGGTGATAGTATTTATCGTATACAGTATGGAATTGCAATATTTTAAATAAATATTAAAAAATATAAATATATCCCACTAATGTGAATCTGATTTGGCTGATCTGAAGAGAATGCAAAATGTCAAGGAGAATAATTGTGGTTAAGGTACTAGAGAGGAGACTAAGATGACATGTTCTGTGACATGACCTGACATGAGCCAGAGATCAAAGTGACATGTTTGGATTTATCACAGTCAGAGTGTTTATTCTACTAATATTGTTAAACCACTGTAGTTGAAATAATACGTAAACACATCTAAATACTTAACTAAAATTACACCCACCCCCCACACCTTACCCTCCCACGCTGCATGACCTTTACGATGCTTGAGTATGAAAATTCCTAAATAAGAATTAGAGCTACCACACACACACACTCACACAACACACCACACATCCAATCCACACAGCACACAGACACACACTAGCCATCACACAAATGTAAATAATATACAAAATGGTTCCCATCAACAAAATACTTTACAAGATACACACACACACACACACACACACACACACACACCACACACACACACCACAGCAGTCAATCGACACACAACAACACACACACACACCACACACACACACCACACACACACACACACACACACACACACACACACACACACACACACACACACACACACACACACACACACACACACACACACACACACACACACACATCAAAGAGTAATATTTATAATGGAATTTGTAATGCAAAAATACCGGGCATATTGATTTAATACTATTTTTGTTATATCAAGAGATGGTAGGCTTATTTATCGGGATTTAAGTCTATCGGCTAAACGAGGGCCGTTAGGACTGCATTTCTTTATATTTACACAGCTGATTTTCCAGGCTAATAGCTGTTTTCCTCCCTGAGTTCATTTCAAAGCCTAGCCCGATCTACTGCATGCTAACACCCTTCCCGGGATGCGACCCACAACAGTCAACTAACACCCAGGAACGTAGTTACTGGTACGTGACCAGGACCAACAGGTGTAAGGAAACATGTCGAAATATATATTATATATATATATATATATATATATATATATATATATATATATATATATATATATATATATATATATATATATATATATTTATATATATATATATATATATATATATATATATATATATATATATATATATATATATATATATATATATATATAATCATAAAGTCATATCATACTTCTATTTCTAACGACCAACTATAATATTTAACGAGTTAAGGATTAAAGAAAAAATCTCGGGTATGTTTTGAGGAATATACCGCTCGGTATATATTTATTTATATCATCAAGCACATTACAATAATGAACGTGACTTCACATTTTCCGAGAATGAAATTTAATGCAAAACTGATGGTTGTGAAACACTTAATAATACTAATGTTACCGATATAGCCACGCAGAATAAATGTTAGAAATGTTGAATGTGACGCAAGCAGAGATCAACATAGTGAGGAAGCCTCAGGGGTTGAGCACGGTGAGGAAGCCTGAGGGTTCAACACAGTGAGGAAACCTGTGGGTTTAACACAATGAGGAAGCCTGAGAGGTTCAACACAGTGAGGAAGCTTTGGGGTTCAACACATTGAGAAAACCTAAGGGGTT